GCAACGACCATTGGGTCAGGCGAGAGATGGATGGAAGAGGCGCAAGACATTGAGTGCGGACAATTCAGATTTTGAAGTTCGGCTTCTGCAGTGGTTGCGAAATTTCTGTCAAGATCCGTAACCACGCTCCTGAGGCTCAAAAGAGACTTACCGCGGACACCTTCCGCAGCCAGAGTGACGTTTCGCTTCCTGATCTTACTTTAATTTTCAAACTATAGGCAATTATAGATAGTTAGGTGAACTGTGACGTCATTTTCTAAAAATCTTGTCATTGCTGAATTCAAACGGGCACTTACGATACTCTACCCATCTGAAGCACTTATAGAACCTCTAAGTTTCTGAGCGTCACTTAGTATGTTTGAAACAAATGTTGTAAAAAATCTACAAAGGAATCCGTAAAAACGGCATTGGCTAATTCGGACTCTAGTAGACCTTATCGGCTATCCGCATACCTGATTTTGTGTATTGTGTGTTGTTCATGCTTGAGCGTGTTATGGCGTAACTTGAAAGTTCAGAATAGAAATAATAAAAAAGTTGAATAATGCAGGCCGATGCACGGATCCTCTGGGCTGACGTCGCAGACAGCTAACGCGTCTCGGCGGTCTTCCCATGCGAGCGCAAAACGCTAAAATTAACAGTGAACGATCAGAGATAATATGTCACAACACCATCCAGAAATTAGAGGATATACTGTACCAATCTCGAAATTTGGAATTAAAACGAATTGCCAATAAAACGGACGAAACCGACACCATTTGCTGCTGTATGGCTGAACGAGAATATGCGTTGGATGTCACGTCACAATAGCATCCAAGCCATATAGTTTGATAATGTCATCTGGGTGCTAACAATGCACTATTGGACCTGTGAGGACTGTATTTGTTGTTAGGCAGCTTGTGCTGGTTGAAAACTGTCATCAGTTGCAGGAGGCTCTTTATTTGAGACTTATTTCTGTGCTAGGAACAGCTGGTTAACTATTCTTTCTTGTCTTTATACGTGAGCTCGCTTTAATTCCCCACTGATCAGTTACTTGCTACATTAATACATAAATAAATTTTAACTTTTAGGCTCGGAGAGCCTCGTCATTGCAAACTTAGTGCTATAGTAAAAATAAATACGAAGTGGATAAACGCTGCTTTTTGTGAGCATATATATTGTGTGAGCCGGGTGCAAACTGCCGCTACTGACACAATGTTCATTATATGTATCACAGTTTCTCATCAAATGAGAATCTTACTATCGTCTAAACTTCTTAACAGTATCAGAAAGGACCATCCCGTCAGGGAGTCCGTTCCACACTCCAATAACCCTCTGCGAGAAGGCGTTCCGTCGAACGTCCGTATGGGTCGGCTTCTTCTGCAGTTTAAAGGGATGCCCCATGGATGATTTGTCCGAGTGGATTCGAAGAATTCATCAAAGTATAGGGCGCACTTATGGCCTCTGAGAATTCGGTAGGTTTGGATGAGATCAGCGCATAGTTGCTTGTAACGGAGAGGAAATAATTCAAGTTCAGTCAATCTGTCTTTATAAGGCAGGCATATTCAGTCATATTCTGTCTCTTTCCTTTAACTGGCTGTCCGTGAAACTAATAATTTGATTTCTGTTGATTAATGTTTGCATAAAAGTGAGTTGATACTTCCGCGGCATTTCTCTAATAACACGCCACTATTCAGGCTTTCGTTGGTTCGAAACCAGGACCCCGTCTAAATTCCGACCTCGAGACTGTGAAGATACATATCAGCAAATGGGCAAAATGACAGGAACTTATGAAGATGAAATAAGTTCACACAAAGACTGAATGCAAGAACACAAATAACCTTTCCGCCTGGCGTCTTTTTTTTCGTCTCGACATTATTGGAATTAATTTGCGCGGTCATTACGAGAATTTATTCGGTGTAATGGGCGCGCGCGATTCGCCTTCTCCGTCTACTGAAAACACTGAGTTCGCGGTGTCTCCGTCGCCAGCGACCGACGAAAATATCGCAAATGACAGTCATTTGTATAGCCCAGACAAATCCGAGCCACCTTTCTCAAAAAACGACGATGAGCCCGCTCATAGCGAAGAGTCACCACATATCCTAGAAAATGACGATGAGCCCGCTCATGGCGAAGAGTCGCCACATATCCTAGAAGATGACGATGAGCCCGCTCATGGCGAAGATTCGCCACATAAAGGTTCGGTTGTAGAAGGCAAGTTGTAAATGTCCTTCCTTTATTCCCCCTGCAGACGAAGGGGCTGTGCCCGAGGAGGCCGAAACATCATCTGTGAGACTTATCCGATTTCCAGTTTCACGTCTGAAGACTATAGTCAAAACTGTGCCATCTGTACATCTTATTAATTCCGAATCGCTTGCTGTCTTGAGTCATGCAGCGGAGAGGTTTATTGCAGATTTAACTCTCGAGGCTGCCCGGATGGCCACTGAGTCGGGAAAGAAGACCGTGTCCAGAAATTCTTTGGATGCTGTTGTAGCCACACTCCCCCAATATGAATTTCTTGATGGAATGTTGGATTAACCGAGAACTTGTCATTTACTTTTAGAAACTTTTCTATTTTATGTCTAACTTTGCTCGATAATTTATTTATGAACACAGTATCGTTCTACCCACGATTATGTTCCGTCTTTTCTATGGGTCTAACACAACGTTAAGTCGGATCATCATTGTCTGGTGCACACATCGTGGCATGTGAACGAGCCTTAAGTTCGATTGATGGTCACTGTCGCTTGCAAATCGGTAACTAATCTCGCCAGAACCCCCTCTGATTAGAACCCGATTGATACCCGAATTTTACGCTTCATTTATTATATTTTGCCTTCAATGGATTCAAAAAACTTTGCTGTATTACCAATTCTTACGGAGATATTGCACATAAAACATCTTGGCCTCCTATGCGACAAGGTGTTGAATAACTTAATTTAGAATCTTAACTTCGTACACTGTACGTTACCGCAAACGAATTTCGCTAGACGCTTGGTCATCCTGGCACCAGTACGTGTTCGCCAAGTAACGCAAACCACGGCCCTCTTTTCTTGCTTTTCTTCGTCTTCAGATATACCGTTGCCTTACTTATACCGGTGTGGTTATTATATCAAATAAACCACAATCTGCCCAGGAGTGCGTATTTAATTGTTACGTAGGGTTCGTGTGTGAAGTTGAAGTAAACCTTCGGGTCACCTCCCGTTCTCATACAAAGGCCCAGAAGCTTCTTCCTTGACCGCAGCTGAGAATAGTCGTTGTAAACATTGTCTTCTAATTTTGTGGCAAACCCAAAGCGTCGCCTAGAAATTCGGTCTCGACATAATCATTGACGAAATGTGGTTGTACGTTCGTCCGACCCATGGGCGCCTCCAAAACTAGGTCAGTTAAATAGAACTAGAGTTATCGGACAAGATAGCTCGAACTGGCTTGCGCCGTGATGAGTATTTCAGCCGACTCCGCAAAGCCTGCATCTACTAGGTTCCCGTCGCTTGGTGTAGAGGAAAATATCTCTACAGAGCTCGCGTAACGGCTCTTACTTGTACTTGTTACGGCTGTGATCATGCCTGATCTAGCCGGCCTCAA